TGTGAGTTTTGGGGGTCGTTAGAACCAGTCTTTATGTTAATGGGGGTTTTGGTGGTCGTTAGAACCAGTCTTTGTTAATGGAAGGTTTGGAGGTAGTTAGGACCAGTCTTTATGTTAATGTGAGTTTTGGGGGTCGTTAGGACCAGTCTTTGTGTTAATGGGAGTTTTGGGGGTCGTTAGAACCAGTCTTTGTTAATGGAAGGTTTGGAGGTAGTTAGGACCAGTCTTTATGTTAATGGGAGGTATGGGGGTCGTTAGAATCAATCTTCAGGTTAACGGGGTGTTAGAAGACCTTGGTTACCAAAATGAATTCACCAAATGTTTTTCATGGTTAAGAATTATAAAATGCAGTCAACTTCACGAGTTAAACAAAAACGATTTCACAAAAAATCTATTTGGTACACTTAGTATTGAAGCAAAAAAAATTTAAATTAATTGCATTGATCTGAACTAAAGACGATATGTTAACGTTATACTACAACTGCCATTAATAAATAATAAAGAAATGAGAAAAAGTAGAATTGTAACGAAAAAAACTCAAACCTAACCTTTACTTCTCAACATCTGTCATGAAACTACAACCCTGACATGCAGCAACAGGTCTTCGTTCATCCAGTCAACAATTCGAAATTATACGATCTGGATTATCTCTCCACAATTAAGCATATATAGCCCATTGTGTTGCTTTGTGCTTAACTTCAAACAAACTCTACCAAAAACATCAGACACTCTGACGGACTCGCTCTCTGGCCTTTACCAACAAACCCAGTTTCCACGAAGGTCACTCACTACCAACAAACTACGGACACTGATGGACTCTGACTCTGACGACAACATACATTCTCCTGGAATATTCTCTCTACCAAAAACATCAGACACTCTGATGGACTTGCACTCAGACCTTTACCAACAAACTACGGACACTGATGGACTCTGACTACAACACATTCTCCTGGAATATATCTCTCTACCAAAAACATCAGACACTCTGACGGACTCGCTCTCAGACCTTTACCAACAAACCCAGTTTCCACGAAGGTCACTCACTACCAACAAACTACGGACACTGATGGACTCTGACTCTGACGACAACATACATTCTCCTGGAATATCTCTCTCTACCA